CTTATTTTAAAGTACAACACACAACTAGGCGATTTTAGTTGTCAAAATGGTGAATTTATGGCCTTTATACTTTTGTTTAAGATCACGTCTTCTTCGTGTGGATTTTGTTTTTCTGGATAGATGTTTGTCCATCGGCTTAGTTTCTGGATCCGATCAACCTTTATATTCTACTTGGTTTTCTATATGACAAAAAAAAAAAACTCAATTTTCAATATTACCCCGCGCTGTTATTTGCCACATTTAAACAGATTAAAACTATGATTTTTATTTCTGACAAAATAGAAGGAATAAAAATAACTGTGAACTTAACCCTAGTAACAAATATCTATTCAATGACTTTACATTGTAAACTTTTAAACAAATATGCTAGTTGAACCACCCTTATCCAGTCCATTCCACCAATAAGGGTTTTTTGTTCATTTGTTATTACAAAATACGAATTACGAAACTACATATTGATAGACGAAAATGTCTACTTTTTTTTTATACGATTCTACAAAAACAAACAAACAAAAAATGTAATTAATTCAAAACGAAAGACTACTACGAGTCACTTCTTTGTCGAGTCTCATCGACGCGAACCTCTCATCATTACATTTCTTAATAAAAGCTTCTGCTCTTCGATTTAGCTCATCACGACTCCGAGACACCGCCGGTGACAAGTAAAACTTAGTTCTGTCCTTAAACGTCTCCGATTTCTTCAAACCGGTTTGTTGTTGTTCGGAGTCTCCAAGTCCGAACGTGTCCGGTCTCCGGTAATGACTAGTCAAAGGCGGTGACTTCTTTTCCATGATCAACTTCCACGTATTCTCTAACGTCTCGTGCTTCCTCGGCTTCGCCACTTTCAACGCTTTGAAAGAGTTTCGCTCTGAAAGAAATTACGAATTTACCGATTTAATAAACACATTTAGCAAAAAAATAAAATTAAAATAAACAGTGTTTTTGGTTATCATTTTCAAATAAAATATCTTAACTAGTGTAACGTCACTTTCAAATAAAACAAAATATCTAAACTTGTATCACGTCACCTCATGTTTTAATATATTAAATAATTAAGTTTACCTGCTGTGGTGGTCTTGACCAGTTTCCGGTGACCGATCCTCGCCGTGACCAGAGGCTTCTCAACCGGAGATGATACCTTTTCTGGTTCTTCCACCACCACTATACTCCTCTCTTCCTCCTCCTTTACCATCGCCGCCGCTTCTGCTACCTTCTTCGTAACCACCTCCGGACTCTCCTTCACCTCAACGATGATTTTCGACGGCGAAACCACGGTGACGAAACTAAAATCCGCTTCCTTCGCCTCTGACCGTCGTGGACGAGCTTGGTGGACGAACTGATGTTGTTCAGTCTGATGACTCTTATTATAGTCACCGCCGTATGAAACCTCGTAGTCTTTGCTACCGTCGTTGTTGATGGAGATGCTCCGGTAAAACTTGGAAGAAACTCCGATAACGATGATTATAGCGTTTATGATGACGTAGAGATACGGTGGTCTTAGCCACGAGAGAAATGAGCTCAAAATGATCGGACCTTGAGAGAAATCAACTGTTGCCGGAACAATGACCTTTAGATGCATGCCTATGGCCACGAAGCCAGTAGAGATTAGCACCGGTTTTATCCACGACGCCATTTTTTCTGACTAATGTATCTCTCTCTCTCTTAGGATTTGTGGAGTGTTGTATTGTTGTCACGCTCTAATACTTACGCTCTATTAGTGTTTAGTCTTTTGGTTTATATAGAGAGGAAACAAATGTGGTAAGCTGATATAAACCGTTGGATCAAAAGATTAGGTAAATGAACGGTCAGGATTGTTTCGGATAGTGGGTGCATCTTCCTTTTACAACAAAACACGAGTAGGGAATAGATATATTATTGACACGTAAACAAAACTTTACGTGTCCACATTACTATCTCAAAAACAAATTATCTTTCCAAATTAAATTATAATTCTTTTTTACGTTGATAATTCTCTTATTAGTCAACCTTGTATCAGTGTCTGACAGTTCGTATATAATTCGATATTTTTGTTTTTCCCACGCTATGCCCACGTCTCTTAGCACATCGTCCATACATTGATTGGAAAACAAACAAAATATTTGAATATGTAGAGAGCGATTTTGTACGTTTTTTCTTTATTACAGAGAAGCTATATTTTTGTTTTATAATAAATTATGTGTTATAATGAATTGTAAATATCTGATATAAATATATTAATTCGAAGCTAAGCTAAGTAAGGTGCACATGAATGTCAAAGATTCATTTTTGGCTAAGCAATACTCTCGATGCTGCTTTGTTGGTTTGTGATGGAAATGAAAGAGTAGCAAAAGCAGATGATGAAGGAAAAATGATGTCTGTGTGGCTGT